ATTCAGATGAGCGATGAATAATCTGAAGACACAGTAAACAATTTTAGTTCACAAGTAATCACTTAAAGTTCCCATGTGCACAGTTTTTAATGTAGGCTTGCAAATGAGCTTAAAGGCACAGCGTCTCACCAAGTCTCTGGTCGAACCACTGCAAACAGCATGTTTAAAAGTATTTCTTAAAGGTTCTTTGCTGAACATCCGCTGACTGCAATGTTCTCATGACAATAAATAACAAAATGTGGGGTTTGATCAGTGAGCTAATCGGTCAGGGAAGACTCAACAGGCTCCCCTTGTGTAATCCAACTCCTTTCAAATTTGATCTGTATATTACACATGATGCATAGTTGCAGTCTTTATCACTGCATTCTCTGCTTTTGTTTTCATTTCTTTTTACATTTTCACAGGCTAATCACCCTGTCGAAAAGCTGAATCTCGTTAGAGATTCATAATCTCCACTAAAAGGCTTTACACTATCAACATGAACATTCAAACAAACACAGATGGTGCTTTTTTTTGCTTCTGTAAACGTCAATGTTCTGCAGAAATAAAGCCCCCAAAACAAAACAAGATCTGCCTGAGGAGTGAAGAGGAACAAATAAAAGCAAAGAGACGTGAGGCTGCAGGGACCACAGGTAAGGACACTTTGACCTTAAGGCTGATGGAGGTCAGATACGTCTGTCTGGAGTTTTACTCTCAATCTGTGAATCAGACAAATCTCTTTGATGCACCTTACGGATGACTCGCTCGCCTCCTTGATATGGCTTTAGTTGATCTGTTATAAATAAAGGTAAAAAGCTTAAAACAAAGAAATTAGCCCCATAATGCAGATGTCTGTAGAAAAGGATGAAGGTCTTGATTTGTTCAGAAAAAGGGGCAAAAACCTTCTGCAGAAGAGCGGCCCTGAGTGAACACCAGCATCAAGAAAAGACTCAGCAGAGGAATACTGCATGTAAATATAATCTGTACACATAATCTGTACTGTGTCTGACTGTCGGTTTCGCTCCCTATGGAGGGCTGTAGGTATGGCTCCATGACCGCTATGTTATCAAACTCAAACCCAGAAGAAACACGCCGCGTGCCCGAAATAGAAGAAGCTCAGAATGGACGGAGAAAATAAGAGACAGACATGGGACCGGTACCAATGTTTCAGAAAGTTACAGCTTCAAAAAAGCAGTGCTAAAATGTACATTTCCTACGACTTAAAGCCATTTTATTAACAAGCAGGATGAGTGCAGAGCTGTCCTGTTTCCACTCGCTGCTGCACACTGCAGGTCACCTTGCTTATAAAAAACAAACAAAAAATAAAAACAGGCTTGCTGTAATTTCCCCTCATTTAGCTCTTTGGAGGCATTTCTGCTCACAAAAAGATATAACTTATATAACTGTTAAGGTACATAAAATAAACAGAATATGTGGAATACTGATCAAAATTGGTGTTCATTCTATATTTTTCTAACTCCAAATCAGCAGTCAGTGAAAATGTTATCTTACTATAACTGTTGTAATTAATGCATTGATATAGCAGCTGTATGGAGACCTGATACTGTCCTGTTTTGCACATTGTGAATAAAGATGGTGAGTTTGTGTTTGATGATAAGATGAAACCATAACATTTTTTACAGATTATGATACCGGCCCATGCCTACTGTCAAACGAGCAGAAGACATCACTGGCAGCGTGATATTCACCTGAGTCAATGAGCGATGGAAAACTCAAATCTCTGCAGCCCAACATGAACTGATGATTTGCTGCAAAATAAACTAACACCAGTTTTCTCTGGGCGAAAAAAAAAAAAAAAAAAAAAAAAAATAACCGTTTCTCTTTTTTAATTCGTGCTT